CATGATTAATTGTAGACATACATCAAATAATATCTACAGTATATAACACATATGTAAGCACTGGGGAGGGTGTGGATAGTAGTCTTGCACATATACTGTATATACAAAGCAGAAAAACCCTTTTAAAAGACTTGACAATGTGAACTCCTGTCACTGTCAGCCCTTATCCCTGTACAGACACAGACAGGTGTGTGGGCACAGTGACTGTTTGTGTGGTGGACCAAATCTAAGCGATGCAACACCACAGTGCGAAGTGGGCGTAGCCCTGAAAGAGCTGCCTGTGGTTGCACTGACAGGCGCTTCAACAGCAAGCTTCCTCAAATCTCTGTGATCTCACAGCAGGCACTTTGAAGCTTGCAGGAAGGGGGAAAACCTGAGTACTGGCACTGGCTTCCCTGCATTTCTTTTTAGTTTGATGCCTGCTGCCGCTGCTCTCGCACGCACGAACTGAATGTTGATGTGATACGATAGTGACAGAGCTACTGAAATCTTTCACATGTGGAGTACCTATTGTATCCTAATACTGTTACCTGGTCATCCATAACACCTTGACACTTGGCCTTTTAAACACTCCCTTCTCTCTCGCATTACATGCTCCCTCGGAGACGGCGCTCTACTCGGAAATTAGAAACATACTAGCGACTATATTGGAAATCTAATCACCTTTGTGGTGATCAGAAACACTTTTGGCCACACAAAGCAAAAATGTTCATGTTTTCTATGTTGTCTTCCTGCTTTAGAGGCTTGACTGGTGCTTTTTTAATTACAACATCTCATCTTCAGCAGTAGGTTGATAGAGCCCAACTGGAGAATTATCTTGATGCACCCAACTCTTAGTATTAAGTAATAGCAATGGATGGAAGCATTAATTTACATGTTCCTAAATGTATTGGAATAAAACAAATCCACTCCATTTGGATGAAAACTTGCCACCTGAATATCAGTTAGCATGAGTATCTATTACCATGTGGCATTTTAACTGAAAATATACACCATCATCCTGATTTTTTGGCCTTTTTGATCCGTTTGTATGTCTTGAAGTTTTCAGTGAGTACTATTTTCTGACTTCTGTTTTACTGGAATATTGCTGACTTCACTGGCACATTACAGCAAACAGTTATAATGATGTAAATACTTAATTTACTGTAGATCTACACACAAGTTAAAAGTGGGCTAATGACTAATAAACTGTAGGAGAGCATGTTAATCCACTGTAACTGACAACTCACAGCCAAGACACAGCTCACTTCTTCTCAATATGGGGAAGCGTCACCCTGTTGGCATGGGGGTGGAGAGAGATGCAAGTGCTGGCATCAAAGGGTGAAGCACAAAGCAAGAGAGAACAGACAGAGAACAGATAATAGGTTTCATGACGTCAGGTTCTCCATCAGAGCAGCAGACACTCAAATAGCAAGCAATTAGCCCCTTGCTAGTGGAGTGGACCATAGTCATACAGAAACACTGAGAACGGCCACACTGGACAAATTACACAGAAGAGCTGAAGATGCACTAGAGTTACGCTCTGTGGGTCTTCATAAAAGATTTGTTGCACTGACAACCTCTTGAAAATCAGCAACAGGATCATTAGCTACTGGTAAATCTTCTGCTTCACATACTTAAATCCCTTTCTAGGAACGTGTGTAGGACTAGAGGCACTTGCGATTGCCTTAAGCATGACTTGTAAACCCTCATTTAGTTTAATGTTAAATGATCACAGTGGTTCACAATGCAACACTTGCCTTCTTGTGCACATGTTAACGTTAACAATTAATATGGCAGAGATCTATGCAAATGATTGCACACGATGACATGCATATTTGCAAAACATGTTTCACGCTTCACATATAGCAGTTAATGTATAGAAATATATTGGGTCTCCTCTCTTAAAATTTTCACTTTGTCTACTTCTGCTAATAAATGTATTTATTTTTTTTTGCCTGATTGCCAAGTACATACAGTACACAAGACATAATGTACAGTAGCAATACTTTTTACCATACTACAAGGCATTCATAATGAAGCTGGATGGCACAGGGCACAGCTCTAACACCAATTAGTATTACAGTGAAGAAGATAACAGGCCTGTTCTCATCATGGAAGTACTGTAGAATGTAAACCTACTATAGAATGCAAAACCTTTCACTATATTGGCATTGAACATAAACAGACAGTGTCACAATATAATGTAGAGTCTTGCACAATCATCATCAACATTCTTGTCTATTGGTTTGGTTCAATGTTAGTCTTATGTTGGATAAAAATAGCAGCCAACCAAGTGGCCGTCTCCTCTGCCATACACGTATATGCTGTGTCATGTTGATGTTTTCTTCCTTTTGTGGGTTGCATCTTAGTTTGTGTTTGTGCCAGCTTCCAGCCTGTCAGGAGGCATCAGAACAGCCGTCCTAGCTGCAGTGGTGTGACTACGGTGGGTTCAGGGCCCTCAGGATTTCACTCTTCTTGCTGAGTGGCGACACGTGCTGTGACAAGGCAGCTGCACAGGGCTGCATTACAGAGAATGGCCTGTTGTGGCTGAGACGGTTAACAGGCCGAGACTATGTGGGCTTGTCACTGCCAAGGCTCCCAAAAGTGAGTGCAGCACATTAAATACAGACAAGAGTACTGGTATGTGTTTATTTAGAAAAAATTGCATTACAGTATCTCTAACTAATCCCATTAAAAGACAATGTTAAGGGGATTTTCAAGCTAGCAAGTTTCTTCAAGGCTATTAAAAGGGAGCTGAAATCAACCACAATCACACATATGTTACCATTTATGATAAGTGATAAACTAGTTTTACCTTCTGGATTGTGGGGCATTTTGAACCAGTGTTTGTACATGCTGCATTAGTCTTGTCTAAAGAAATAAATGTTCTTATGCAGGTCTAAATTAGCTAGACACATACAGTCAAGTACTGAAATGAATCTCTGAGTAAACATATTCTTTTGGACTAACTACAGGGTTTTTAGGATCTCAGGTCGTAGCTTTTTCAGTTAAGGTGAAGTCATAAGGTCTGTGCTAAAAATAAAAGTCATGTCAGACCTTCTATTTTTTACACTTGTGGAGAAACAAATGTATGTTCATCCTTTCCTCTCAAGTTGTCCACCTTAGTTGTAAATGTTTCTGGAGCACAAAAGGCGTATTCATGATGCAGAAGCAGCGCCTGAGGGGAAAAAAGAAGTCTGGGGCTATACTCTGTGGTCATCTCTCTCTCTCTCTCTCTCACACACACACACACACACACACACAAACACTGAAGCAGCTCGACTTGTCTTGGCTGAAACCTTTTACACAAAACAGAGCAGGGAAAGCAAGGGACAAAGGGAATGAGATGTGAAGCCAATTGACCATCATCACCAGTGGCACACCATTAGCATTGCTATCGACTTTCCTTTGTCCTGTAACATATATTACCTACTGCACCTGCCCTTTCCTGTCTTTTAGGCAAATTACTGAGCAGGTTTGTGTAGGAGCAACACAGCTCATGTGCTGTTAATTTTATCCTTGGCACCAAGTCTGCTGAAAGACAGCCTTTAAAAATGTACTGAATCTCCTTCAGCTCACACTACATGCCTGCTAAGAGCCATGTTTTGAAATGCTGCTCCAGATGTGAGCCTCTGCGCCCTGCTGCGAGAGATGAATGGCTAGGAGTGCTGCAGGCTACCTAAAGGTTCACATCCTTAATGAGCAGAAGAGTCTGCTGAGAGCAAGATATGATTGATAGTTCTGTGACAAATCTAAAAGAGGGGAGTCGCAGTGAGGGCTTTTGATAAAGATGATGAGGTGGAGGGCTTTGGCAGGTGGCAAACAGAAGGAATCTGGCATCAGACATGCCCAAGCTAAATGCCAGGAACGCATCCACCATGCTGCAAA